TATCCCCGCGGGGCTCGGAGGCTCCCCCCGCCCGCCCCGAGGGCGTTTGGAGGATCAGGGAGCGGCCGCCGCGGCGCCAGCCCCGGCTCCCGCGGCGCTTCGCACCTCTTGCAAACTGCCTTTGCACCCCGCGAGCTTTTTTTCCAAGGCAGGCGAAAGCCCAGAGCGAGTTTCCACTCGAACCGAGCGAGCTTCTTGCTGAGCTGCTTTTTAAGACCCCGTATCCTTACCCAAACGCGAGCACATGCACAGCGAGCCGTCGTTTTTATTGCAAATCGGGTGGCTGCTCCTGAAAGAGCGCTAGCAATATTCACTTCTGCAGAGGAAGCCTCCAGCGTGTAGCAGACGCGAGGAAGTCAGAGCGGCTGCCTCCAAAGCGACAGCGCTGCCGGAACATTTGGGGCAATGCAACCCCTCTCACAAAGACGTGCATCTGCACGTACGGGCTTCACACAGATCCGACTCCAGCCCAGCGGTTTAACATGCCGGGTTTAAGGAGGTCAGGCACAGGCATCCTAGCGCTGGCGGAGCCCTCGCAGACCCAGGAAGCGGGCGAGCGAGGCGCTGCCTCCATCCTCGCCGAGGAGCCGACCCACACCGCGGCCCGCGAGCCCAACCGTCCAGCTTTCTCTTCCATCCGCACATTCACGGCAATGGCATTTCCTAATTTCTGCCCGCCGAGCGCGTTTGTGTAGGCAAGTGCTATAGTTACCATCCAAATAAACGGCCGGGGCGCGCTCGCACCGCGGAGCCGTCCGCGCAGCGCCTGCCAGTTTCGAGGGGGGTTGAACACATGGCTGGGAAAGCGCGCTTGGCCCGATGCACACATTGTGCACAAACCACATGATCTAAACTGTCCATAAATGGGTAAAAAGCTGCAACAGAAGTCTGAAGCCCATTATTCTCTTAATCGCCCAACAAGAAACAGATGCCAGTTTCGAGGGGGGTTGAACACATGGCTGGGAAAGCGCGCTTGGCCCGATGCACACATTGTGCACAAACCACATGATCTAAACTGTCCATAAATGGGTAAAAAGCTGCAACAGAAGTCTGAAGCCCATTATTCTCTTAATCGCCCAACAAGAAACAGATGATCTGCAGGAAGACGTAAAAAAATCTGGTAGAGTCAGAGGGGGAAGAGGAGC